TCATCTCTGGTTGAGTTCTTCGCAAAATAAAAAACTTATTTTTGCCATCACTGGGGACAATTCTCTTGCTTGTTCAGCCTCGCCGCAATAGACGTAATAATTTAGGCTATCAGGAAGAGAGTTGTATTGTACCCAATATGAACTGGTTCCAGCCTTTGCAAGGTATATGAGAGCAGCAATCTCACATATCTTCTGTGCATTTGAAATATCAAAATAGATTTTCATGTTGTTTCTGGAGGATCCATTTTCTGTTCTTGGCACTTCATGGCTCCTTTTCTCTATCGAAAATATCATATGGTTTAAGGAGCATTATTTTGTTTCAAGAAAAAACAAATTATCGTTTTTGTATTGAATAATAACCAGAATTTGCCTAAGTTATCGTTTTTCACAATATTACTCGCACAAAAATAAAAAATAAAAGAGAATAGGATTGAGCTCATAGTCAAAAGATAAATATTAAGGAGCTTTTATTGCCTTCAATACTCTTTTTCTCTACTCGCTAATGAGTCATGAACACCGCTTTTCTAATTCAAAACAAAATAGTAGACCTTAAGGGGACACCAATACCCACTCGATTGGACAAAACAAGACCTGGGTTGACATCCACGAACAATGATCTTAAAATACAGACAATTAAAATATCGTACTTTCCCCCTCAATACATACTTCTCTTAAGCTTGTAAGAGGTTTAAACGTAAATGGTTTTGGAATCCACCTATCTTGGAGAACACGGATAGAAGCTCCATTGCCCACCCTCCAAAGCAAGCCATCCTCAATAACCTCACGTCCCCACAGAATAGATCTCCATATCAGTGACGGCGAACTCCCCAAACTAGCCTGCATAAAATCATCCTCTGGAAAATATCGGGCTTTAAGCATCTTAGCCACCAGAGAGGTGGGGTTCTCTAAAATTCGCCAAGCCTGTTTTGCGACCATGGCTTTATTAAAAGCTTCAAAGTGTCTGAAACCAAGGCCTCCCAGCCATTTTGGTTTACACAATTTTCTCCAACCCAACCAATGAATTCCTTTCCTACCACTCTTCCCCCACCAGTACCTTGCAATCATAGCAGATAATTCCTGACACAAAGATTTTGGCAGCTGAAATACTCCCATTGTATAAGTAGGTAGTGCCTGACCAACCGCCTTAATTAAGACTTCCTTGCCCGCCGCTGACAACAACTTCGTATCCCAAGTATTAAGCTTGTGCCACACTTGTTCTCGCACATGATTAAACATCCGGGATTTGCTGCGTTGAGCTAAGGTGGGCAGCCCAAGGTAGCGTTCATGACATGTAACAATCGGCACTCCAAGCATTTCAGCAATCAGTTGCTTCATCACCGGATCAGTGTTGGGGCTAAAACAAACTGCAGACTTATCAAAATTTATTTTCTGACCAGATGCTCTCTCATACATGCTGAGAATTTGAAGCAAATAAGCACAATCAGCAAGATGGGCATTACAAAAAAATAGGCTATCATCTGCAAAAAAATAAATGAGAAATAGAAGGAGCTCCCTGAGCCACGGAAATGCCGCTAATACGCTTGATTCTGAGTGCGTTAGAAAGCAAAGCAGACAGTCCCTCCGCACAAATTAAAAACAGATAAGGAGAGAGAGGATCTCCCTGACGCAGCCCCCTTGATGGCACAATCAGTCCCGACGCCACCCCCCGAACTTGAACAGAGTATGTAACAGTGGATATACAATCCATGATTAGCTCCACCCACCTATCGGTAAAGCCCAAACGCTTAAGCATAGCCTCAATAAATGTCCATTCCACTCTGTCATAAGCTTTAGACATATCCAATACCATTTTCTTCAGCTTACTCCCACCACGCCGTTTAATAGCATGGATGCTTTCAAAAGCAGCAAGAATGTTGTCCGTAATCAGCCGTGTAGGGACAAACGCGCTCTGAAACTCGGAGATGATAAGCGGCATAATAGGCTTCAACCTGTTAACTATAGTCTTGGAAATCATCTTATAGATTACTGTACACAAACTAATCGGCCGAAACTCCGTAACTTTTACCGGATTGTCAACCTTAGGAATGAGCGTCAAAAGTGTGTGATTAATTGCTTTCACACTGGCACCCCCATTCAATACATTAAGGCAGTACCCTACCACATCATTGCCTACCACCCCCCAATACTTCTGATAAAACAGTGCCGACATACCATCCACTCTTGGAGACTTAGTAGGAAGCATTTGACCCAAAGAAGTTTCGATCTCCTCGCTTAAGAAAACTTGGTTGAGGCCCAAATTTTGAGAGGCCCTTGACATGCCTTCAATTTCTCTACGACAGTTCCAGTCTCAGACTCCCAAGCATGCGTAATGACATCTTGGCAACCCTCAACAGTAGTCCACATTTCCTCGAACAAAAACCGCTTATGCTTCCGTGCCCAAGTACTTGGTCTCAAATATGACAACAAAGGGAGATGGTCAGACACCATAGAATTCAGATGATGCGTTGTGACCTCAGGAAAGGTCCTAACAAAGTCACCATTAGCCACCATTCTATCCAGCCGAAGCTTTACATTCCCATCACCTTGCCACCGGTTAGACCATGTAAACTTATACCCCTGAAACCGAATAGTTGTCAAACCACTCCTCCAAAGCTTCCCGAAAGGCCCTCATTTGTGACATTGGTCGGAAACGGCGACCCAAGTACTCATGAGCCTTAAGTATTTCATTGAAATCCCCACCTACAAGCCATGGCCCTTGAACAGTCCCTGCAATTTGTCGTAGCAAATCCCAAGAGTGCTGTCGTAACCTCATTTCAGGATTACCATAAAACCCAGTAAAGCGGAAAGTCTCCATATCCACACCCTTTAAAATAGCGTCAATATGCCCTGGAGAAGAAGAAAGAATAGATACTTCCACTCCGTGTTGCCATAACAAAGCTAAACCCCCCGCCCTTCCTTCTCTTCCCACACTGAAGCACCCCATCATACCCAACTGCCGTTGCACACACTCCATCTGGCGCACCGTCTTTTTGGTCTCCGACAAAAAGATGATACGAGGCTTTTTATCTCTGAGAAGGAATCTCAGAGCTCGGAATGTTCGTGGGTTGCCCAGACCCCGAACATTCCAGCATAAGATTGTCATTGCTCGTGATGGGCCCGACCCCCGGGACCCATCACGGGTGTGCGCTTAGCACCAGATGTATTATCAATCATCACCGGACTCCCCCGGGGCCTGGCACGGCCCCGCTGAAAGCCACGTCGTATACTACCTTTGCAGAATGAGGTTGGCGGCCCCAAGATAGCAGAAGCCGCAGTGATATCTTCCCCCAAAACTGTTTT